GTAAGGAAGCACCACTGAGTAAAGATGCTTGATGTGTCCTTCAGTCAACCACCTTGCTGGAGGTGCAGTTAGCACTGATCCCGAAGTGCAGAAGGTAACCAACCCACTGCCAAATGCTCCAGAATGGAAAAACTCCATTTTATGCTTCCATTAAACCCATGCTGCACTTTTCTCCCAATAGGTGCTGTGTCCCAGATCTTCAGAGCATCCCTCATGCTCATTGTGTAACTCTTAGCGTGCCAACGCCAACCCTCAAAACACGCCTGCGGCAGGTGAGGGGGAAAGACATTCAGGGGAGTAATTTCCATCACCCAGCTCTTCAGCAGCAAGCCCCAAGGTAGGAGCAGCCTATTGGCATTTTCTAATTATGCTAATTACCCATAAAGCGTGGTGGCAGGGAGGCTGTGCCGACCAGAGAGGGCACAGTGCACCACGGAGATGCCTGAGCTACCACCAAAGGCAGCAGCTAGTCCCAGTACCAGAATCACTGTCATTAACATGGCACTCCACCTAAGCTAATCTATGCTCTTTCACTGGAAGGCTAATTAGCCAAAAAAACTGCTCTTCTAAGGTATACTGCTTCCCAGATACGAGACAGTTCACTATAGTTTACATGGTTACCACTGCTGAGCATCTTTCTGCAAAGCAGACACGTCCCCCAGTGCCCATCTATAGCTTTGGGCTCTTGTGGATTCTAGTCTCTCCTTGCTTTTTGACATCTGCATTTTTCCAGCACAGCAAAGCTTAAATTCAGCCCTGCAAACCTGGCCCAAGTGAGGCAATTCTTTATTTTTTTTATTTGCCCAAAACAGGCTCCCTGACATGCAACAGTCACGTTTCTCTACAAGAGATACTGTCAGCATCTTGTAAAAACTGCTTTAGTCAGGAACTCCCTTGACTGGCCCTATAATAATCTTTAAACTGGCAAATTCTTCTTCTCTCACACTATAACTAAAAGATATAAACCCAAATGGTTGAAAATGTTCTGTTAACCGTACTAAGTTATAAAAGCAAATGAAGAAACAAGAGTCTAAAATCTTTAATTCTACTTCAAAATATGCAATGCAGGCAGTACAAGACACCCACTAACAAGTTCCACTAGAAGCTATTTTTATTTTCTGCTGTAATCCTCATCCTCTCATGTTTCTTTTATATTATTCCACCTTAGTCCAATGTGAATTTTCATCTCTTAGGAACGTTACTTCATTCTTCCTTATAAAAACATCTTCCTTTTCTATCACATCGGGATAATAATAAAGACACACTACAATCAGAGGAATAGTAATACTAATCAAAATCTAAATTACCATTTCCATTGGAAATTAATTCCAAGGAGTACCTAATCTGACCCTGCTTTGTTGACTGCCACAGACAATATGGATGCAGATAGAACAACAGAATTCATATAGAATCATAGAATGGTTTGGGTTGGAAGGGACCTTAAAGATCACCTAATTCCAACCCCTCTGCCATGGGCAGGCACACCTTCCACTAGCCCAGGACAGTGGCCTGATGGATATCTAAATACCAACAAAGACCTTGCTGAGGTGTTCCAGAGAGCTCTGCTGGTGTATGGAGAAGTGAGCACCAAAAACAACGTCAGTCAAAAGGGAACTTACTTGCTGGACCATCATTTTCCAGTCCAAAAGTGGAAACAGATCGTATCAAAATAGACCCTATTAGTTATATAGTGAAAAATATAGTATTTTACTCATGTTACAATAAGAAATATACTGAGATTAAGGCAATGTCAACATAAGTGTGACTTACAATGCATTTAATTCACTGTGCTATAAACCCCAGTCTGACATGCAGCACATATGGCACAGATGATCAGCTGCTAGTTTCCACCTCTTGCTCTACCTATGCACTGTGAAGGGACAGCCTTCACTTGGAGGAGTTTTTTTGTCTCCAAGCTTAGAAGTACTCTGATATTTATTTCTACATAACATACTTCGTCAGAACGTGCCAAGAGCAGAATTCAAGTCAGAAATTATATGGGGTGAGTATCTAAGGAGTAGCTGTGACACCACAGGATGCAATATGGAAGTTGGTCCTTGTCAGAACCAGAAAACAGGAGGATTAGGTCAGTAAATATCTTATTCTGCTAAATCCTCAAATCCTTTCATCTCTTCTCATTGTCAGATAAGGACCACAGTCTGGTAGTTTGCTCTGGGAACACCAAAACATGCCCCTTATGACAAATATTTATTAAAAAAAGAAGATTCTTTATAAAAAAAAGCATCAATGACATCCTCTCAGAAACAGAAAAGCAGTGGTTAGACGTCCATTTAATATTTAAATGCATATTAAACATGTGTAATGGTACCTCTAAAAGTATTCACAAGTGTTTCTCGTGGTATCCTTCATCATTATACCTTCCCCCTTCAGTGATCATTTACTATGCTGTTTGTGTGCCCATCACCTACAGTAATTACATTAAAAGGTAGATATTTTACAGGCTTAACTGCTGTGACATGATTCTTTATTACACTGGGCTTGATCAAGGGTCAGATATATTTTATTTTGCCCTACAACTGCAATCTTAATCTAAAATCATCTTAAAAAGCTAACCACAGCATGCATGAGGATGATTTCTTAGATCACCTCTCTCTCCCAAATCCAAATGTAGATTATGTTTCAGACACAAACACACCCTGAGACATTCACATGCAAAATAAAAGAGGTCAAAATAATAAAAAAAAATTTAAAACCTATCCTGGTTATTTTGCCTTCAGAATTTTTAAATATTTTCCCAACATCTCAGCAAAATTATGCATTTTAAAAAGACTGCAGGCACTGAAATGATTGTCAGTCATGCAAATAATCACTTACTTACACTGTATGAGTTTGGTTTGGATAAAGCAAATTACCATTTGAAAATAACTTGAAAAACACTCTGGGCTAAGAGCTTGCTTTATAAATTTCAGCTTGGCCACAATTTTTCTTAACCTTTTTCTCCTCAATCTCCATTCAGTCACTATACTCATACAATCTAAATTAAAAAAAAGAAACCAGCATTGAATTGCCACAGGTGCATTCAACTTTATGCAAAACATGTAAAGAAATAGTAAATATTAGCTGCAGCTGAAGGTCAAAACCCAAAGAACTTCAGAGTTAGGCAGAAGCAGCTTTTTCTTCTGCTTTTATTTTTTTCCCAGCAATGATATTGGGCTTTGTCTAAAACAGCCCAGATCTTACATCTAGAATTAGTTGTGGAATAAAACATATTAGAAATAATAGGGCTGACATTAATTTGTGTTTCTAATTACTCTGCTCTGAAAGTTTCACAGTCACACAGTTGCTTATGAATATCTTGATTTTGTCCATCACTGCTGAAAAGAGTTTTTTGATATCATTTCAAGTGCAACAACCACAATAAAACCAGGAAAAGTGTCCTGTTTTGTGAGATGGGATTTAATCCAAGAGCAGGACACTAGAAGAGCACACAGTAAGATGTGAGATCTTCCTACTGTGCCTGTTTGGGTAGTAGGCTAATGATTTTACACACCTAATCACCTCCTGCTTTGGACAAACGATCATGGTGTGTATGACTTCAGCCTAATTTGTCAGATCTCGTTTGACCCCATCTGCCAGGGCTGACAAGTCCAAAAGAGCTGATTTAATATATGAGACAGGGTTATCATAACTTCATCTCCAAAAGTAGGCCTGGGCCACATGATTTCCTAAGGTATGCCAAAACCACGAGACCCTTTGAAATTGGCTCACTATCAAATATGCTGAGCACCCACAGCATTCTTTTATCCTTGAAAAATCTGGACTCTAAGAAGGACTAGTAGATCCTCAAAGGTAGACAGGTACTGACCTATGTTGCCATCCAGGTAACCAGGTCCCTAAGGAATACTGGAGGATTTGAACCCACTTGCCTAAAACAGAGGTTTAAAGATTTAACTTTAGACTCTGATTTCTAAAGTATTGGCATCAGTGTTATAGGATACAAAGTTTTCCGAGATACTGAAACTCAAACCTTGCAGCTTGAACATCAATGGGTGCACGACCTCAGCTCCTGCACTAAAAATTTTCTACCTCAAGCTACCACCAATGTATATTTAGCCTTTGAAATAACTCTAAGTACAGGCTGGACAGGCACAAAGTTCTCAAGTGTGGCCAGAACTTATTATCAGATCAAAAGCCAGGCTCTTGCAAAGTCATTACAGTGCTTTCCATCCTTATTTCAGCACAAAAAAAATGTACCCAGCACGGTGTTGGTTTTAAGAGTATAATCAAATTGCAGAATCATACTCTATTTAGTGCTGGTCCCACTGAAGCAAAGTTCCTGTTCAGTGGGAGGAGAGTCCCTTATAACAGGAAAAACAATTGTGCCAGGTTTAATCAAAAGTGAAAAGGATCCAGAGAATGTTCCCTTTGAGCCACATAACCCACTGCTAATTTCAAGACAGGCTCTGAAACAAGGGTAATAAAAAACGTCCTTCAGAGTAACCGAGGAGGAGTGAAGAGCAACTCCTGCTGCAGCTAATGCCAACATCTGCAAGTCTGCTCTCTGCTACAGGGATGCTTTCTGCCTACCTGGAAAGCCATAAAAGAGGTAGAGGAGGGAGGAGGGAATAAAATCCCACTGCAACACAGCGAGGGAAATAGAGTTCTTGGCTACAGCCTTATCACTTTTACCGTTCTCCAGCATTTCTTTCTCCTCCTTGACCTCCCCTACACAAACATATACAGAGCTGAGGAGTAGGCAACTCCTTAAAGGCTAAAACAAGTGGGAAATCACTAAAACAAGTGGGAAATCATTCATCCTGAACGATGCAAGTTTGCACGACAGGCACTGAGGACAGGCTCGGCAGATCACAGCCTGCCTGAATAGCCTCTGATTATTGAAATACATTTATCAATTAGAAGATTTTGCATATTATCAAACTCTTTCATTAATGATGCTTTAGCTGATTAGTTAGAACGTCACCATAAATACAGAGTTTTGACAAGCTGGAGGCAATTTATGATGTGGAAAATGTACTGACCTGCTCACATCAGGAAACCTGACTGGAAAATAAAGGACTTGGCACTTCGGTCTGATTATTTTTTCCAAATCCTTAGGTCTGTGGTCAGGAATCAGCTTCATAAATTTTCCAATGGATGTAAGAAACGATTCCATATTAAAAGCAGAGTTGAACACCACAACATCAGCAACCAAGCTGTAAAAAGTGGTGAAGATTAATGAACATACTGCTGCCACGAAAGGAACAGAATTATTTTACATGCAGTGGAAATAGGATACATATCCTCATAAACAAGCAAAAGGTGCAAGTGGAATGCTAATTAAAATCAGCCTTTTCACCTGAATTAGGAGTAGCATATGTACCTTAATCAGAAATGTCTTGATTTCTGTCTATTCAGCCTTTGAAAACATGTTTAACCTTTTTTAGCTGATAATAAATGACTATTAATAGTGTAAAGGAGCACACCCTGTTCTAGCTGTGGATTTTTATCCATAAACTGCTAAGAATAGCATTACTGTTATTATCTCTTCAAAGCATTATGAACAGATAAAGACCTGCTGTAATGTGACTTTTGCAGAAATAAACTTGGAAGAAAAAGAAAATTCCTTAGAAATATTCCTTTGCATAGAAGGCCAACTTACCTTTGGTTAACCTACCTTCACTTGACCATGTGTGTCAGGTAGCAGGAGACTAAAGAAGTGAAATGTTATTTTAACCTATGAGGACACAGTCCTGATAAAAAGTATATCCATCATATATATGTATAAAAATACATAGTATACAGTCCCAAAGAGTTGGGAGGAAATGGCATATTAATGTAATGTTTTGATCTTTAATTCTCTGTTTTCAAATCAATCAGATCAATGATTTTAAAATGGAGTTAAATGATCATGTAGGCATTATTTCTCCCCCTAAGTGTCAAGCTGGAGAAAATAAGAAGCTATCAAAAAACCTGAAATATCAGGAAGTTGATCCTGACAGTGCTGCCACAATCTGAGCTACACCAACACACACACACAAACTGCTAAGAGAGGTAAGAAATGCTTTATGGGCAGTTGGTTTTCTCAATATGTTATATATTGTAATACAGACCTGTGGGTCATAAGATACATTGAGGACATGTGTTCATAAGTCACCAGGCTGGTGAAAAGTAGATCTGAGGTGAGAGGCTGTCATTCATCCTCACAGCATCTCTCTGCTGTCTGGTCAAGAAAGAGAACTGACACTGCTCAGCAGAGCAGCA